AATTTGTGTGTGAGTTATTCTGGACAGGCAGAGGGTTACAGGAATGTCATGTTTGAAATGTTGGTTTAGGGAAGCTTTTTAGAGTGCAAATGTGTCATTTGCAATCATCTCCTATGTGTATGATTTTGAGTCTGCTTTCCACATTGTATAGATGCACTGTACCCTTGAAAATGTCTTGGAGACATTTGGCAAGTAAGACCAAAATAATAGCGGCTTAAGATAATTTCATATTTCATAACTTTCCATAGAGTTGTGCTTGTTTTAAAGAACTCCAAGAATTGAAAAGCTATACATTGTGATTTGGCAGACTATTACATTTTTCTGGAAGATAGCATTTAAAGTGTTGACAGTTAGTTTATACTCTTTTCTGTACATGGCAGTTGCAGTCATGGATTTTTATTAATATACACAATATTTTACCTCGTTGGTCTAACATATTTCTGTTATTTTCCCTCGCCGTGTGTGTGTGTTTGTGTCTCTGTATGTCTGTCTGTCTGACTGTCTGTCCCCAGCCGCCTGCACTCCAACAACCTGAACTGTGACTGTCACCTGTCCTGGTTGGCCCAGTGGTTGAGGCAGAGGCCTACCATCGGCCTGTTCACACAGTGCACAGCCCCTGTAGCACTCAGAGGACTCAACGTGGCCGAGATCCAGAAACACGAGTTTACCTGTTCAGGTGATTGGAAAAGTGATGAACACACAAATGCAAGACACACACACACACACACACACACACACATTTCACAATTCTTTGACAATGCTCAATGATGACATGCTCAAAGCCAGTATGTTAAGAAGCGTATATTCAGTTCTGAAACCCCCCTGAGCTGTTATTCCTTGTTATACCATGGTCTGGGTGAATACTCGATTCTGATTGGCTGGCGGGTGTAGGTTAAAAAGTGTTAATGTACACCTAGGAAAGACGTTCGGGTCAAATTGCCTGATGACAGTTAGATTATTGCGCTGGCTCAAACGCTAGATGGTAACCATGGCAACGGAGAGGGAATACTCGATTCTGATTGGCTGCAGGGTGGCCATTAATCCCTGCTATATGGACACCTAAGTAGTTCCAGTCAAATTGTCTGTTCAGCCTTCAAAACGAGAGCTGGTAAATTGTGAAAAATGCATTAAACTGTAATCAGAAAACACGGTTATATGCTATAGACCCTATAGTATCTGTGGTATAAAGGCTGGGACACATTTCAAATTATAAATATGTACAATTTATGTTGAAAGTATAGGCCGTCGCGATTCCCATTGAAACGAATGGCGCGGTGATTAGTCGTCAAAACGACAGCTGGTAAATTGTGAAAAATGCATTAAACTGTAATCAGAAAACGCGGTTATATGCTATAGACCCTATAGTATCTGTGGTATAAAGGCTGGGACACATTTCAAATTATAAATATGTACACTTTATGTTGAAAGTATAGGCCGTCGCGATTCCCGATGTACAATGCATTACGTCAGCTCTCTGGCTCATAGCTGCTCGGACTAGAATACCTCCCGTTGCCGAGTCGTATCTAAGGTCCGTCCTATTTACTGGAGGAGTGAACAACGTTTCCGTTGCATAAGAACCTTACGGGAGGGTAATGATTTTTCCAGGTATTAGTCAGACCCTCAGGCGTTACTAGGGAAACTAAATTATGGCTTGTGAAAAACTTTATATTTTGATTGTAAAACGCATGCAAATATTAATTAATGGTCTTAATTTATTGCCCGACACCTCGTCGGGCATTATCCCTTACTTAATTTACCTGACTGCAGCTGACAGACCCCGGCCCTCAGGTTAGCCTTGGGGCTCTCTGGTGGCCCTTTCATGTGCCTCCAGCTCCCAGGGGCCACCAGAGAAATGCCTGGTATATGCATATGGACCGATAATCGGTCATGAAACTCTTGTCTTGGGTGTTTTGGGATTTCCACTTGATTTCAAGTGGAATTTACATTTGTTTTCAAGTCGACGTTGCTGTGGTTACATTCAGCGCAGTATTGGCTTAACGAGTGTCGCTTGTTTAGCTTGTTAAGCCGAACATAGGGTTGTACTATACAACGCCGGTATCTACAAGCAGGAAAGTGTTTATGAACTAGCAAAGATTTCTGTTCACATAGGAGGGGGTCCTGTAAAGCACAGCTTGGCTGGGATTGGCTATCAGCACAAGTGAAGTCAACAACACCTGAGTGGAGATAGTGAGGACCAAGCCACACCAACTATAAAACATGTTGTGCCGTAAAGTTATCACATCAGCGCTATGAAGACATAAAACCATGAGAACCTCCTCGCCTCTCAAGGCCATTGCACAGTGACACCAGCTGTGAAGGGTGTGTACGAGAGTGCATGTGTGTGTGTGTGTGTTTGTGTCTCTCACTCTTCATGGGTTGTGATTTTAATGCCTCCACACTGCATGACAGCACAGATCATTAAGCATTCAACGCTTGGGGAGAGATATCTCAGTCGTGGGAGTTGAACAGCTCCAGATAAGACTGGGAACTGTGTTTGTGTGTGTGTGTGTGTGTGTGTGTGAGTGGGGGTGCGTGTGCGTGCACATGTGTGTGCATGTGTGTGCGTGCGTGTGTGCGTGCATGTGTGTGCATGTGTGTGTGTGTGTGTGTGTGTGTAGCTGTGGGGACCCCAGTGTGGGAGATCCCACCCTGGGTGGATGCTCTAGAGCCAGTATGATATAGGTTGTTTATAAAAAAAAGATGGCCGTTTATATTGTTGAAGGTACCATTGATATATGGAAATGATTAGCTGTGAGGTTTCATTTAGCTGTGGATTGTGTTTCATTTTGTTGATTTGTGGCGTTTTGCAAATACGAGTTTTAGGCCAGAATAAGCTATTAAATATGTATTTTTCATTCTTTGTTTTTCATATGCTCCTCACACACACAGAGGAGTATTTGTGTGTGTGTGTGTGTGTGTGTGTGTTTTATCTAGAGTGAAGAAGTGACCAGCAGTTGAACTCCCAGTGAAAGAATCATTTAGGACCCACTCACACTGGCACACACACACACACACACACACACACACGAGTTCATGGTGAGATGGAGTTCATGGTGAGAAGCAAGAGAGAGAAACATTGCAGAAAGAGTTCAGTCGTTATGATCTGATAAGAGGTATTACGCAACAGGGGAGATGTTGGAGAGAATGAGTGGTGGGTGAACATCGTATCGAGAGTTACAGCCAGTTGAAATAGGATGGCAGAAGAAGAGATAGCCATTAGCTATAGGAAGGGAGAGAGAGAGAGAGAGAGAGAGAGAGAGTGTGTGTGTGTGGGAGAGGTGGCATGAAATAAGGAGGAGTAATATAAAAGCCATTGATAGATAAAGAGGACAATGTGAGAGTGATAACGGAGGAGTGAAGGCAAGGGTGTGAAGGGTGACGGCGGAGAGAGAGAGAGAGAGAGAGAGAGAGAGAGAGAGAGAGAGAGAGAGAGAGAGAGAGGTGGTGAGGTCGGGTGGGGGGGGGAGTGAAAAACATCAAAAAGCTTCAAATCTACCTGTCACACGGATGCCACTACTAAGGACGCTCCAGCTGTGCACTGCACTCTCCCTGATCCCAGGCCTGTCAAATGTGCCATGTTAGATTATGTGGGGGGGGCGTGCTCTGCCCCGCACCTGATCTGTCAAAAGCCCTCCCTATACCATCCTCCCCCACATCACAGAGCTGCACGCTTCTGCTAAATCTCCCTCTGTCTTGGTTACCACCTTTTTCTTTCTGTTTAACACCACAGATGTTATCGGTTACATTTTATTCTCAATTTAATTTTTTTATCTCCAAAATCTCATTCCTGAGGTTTAGCGGATTATGATACAGCCCCCCCCCCCTCCCCCAGATACACGAAACCTGACCCCGTACTTAAATGTTGTGCCATTACTCAAATGATCCCAGGAGGAGAAGTTGGCGGTAATTTTCTGCTGTAATGAAATACCAGGGGCCAACAGTCGGGACACATTCATCACAGCACAGCACAGCGCCTGCCTGCAGAGTTTCAGCGCCTCGGGTGCTTTCTCCCTCCCCATGCTTGCGTTCACAATCACTTACTTATCGCTCGCCATTTGAGTGAGATCCCTCGCCACCGAGAGAGAGAGAGAGTGAGTGATGTAGAAATAGATAGAGAGGTCATTAAATATGCATGCTTTGAAAGTCAGATTAACGGTGGCTGTTTAAATGAGGCCATTTAAAAGTTATTTATTTTATCTGGGTTAGCCTTGCGCTCATCTCCACAAGCAAATGCACATGGGCATAGGGGCACACACACACACACACACACATGCACACACACACATGCACACACACACACTCACAGAACATTGACAGTTCAAGCACTCCTCGCCACACAGTTGGCAGGTATCAAGAGACAATATGATGCGCTGTGCAGTGTGCACTCTGTATGCAAATTGGAAAAAAGTGTTCTTTTCTTTTTTTCCTCGGGGTCGGGGGTGTAGGAAAACAGGGTTGCTGAGTGTGCGGAACACTATCCCATCCCGAGTGCTCAGAATAGACAAGACGCAGAAGCTGTTCAGAGATCAATAGATGTTATTGAGATGCCTTCAATCCATCCAGTAACTCTATTATTTATGGAGTTTTTTTCCTCCTCTTTCAAATTACTCGATGCCAGGTTGCTTTGATAAATAACCTAGTTTCCTCCCCAGGGGAGATTTGATACAATTGTTGTTCTTCAATGTCGAAAACACAGGTGAGAATATTATGGGTGTTCATTTGCATGTCAACTTGTATAAAACTGTGTTGAGGAGACAGAAAGGTATTTATAACGTTTCTATCTCGCTGGAGCCACTTCACTTGCATGCGGCTGCAGAGTCAGGTCACGCTACTGCCCAAATCCCCCTGCGACGTCTCCCTAATCCTGCTGCAAGATGTTCCCCCGTTACACACACACACACACGCACACACCATCATTGTGTGTTGCATTCGATTAGAAAGAAACAACCTACAACAATTTCAAACAAAAACAAAAGTGCAGTGAGGAATGTTGTCATGTGTAGCTCAACTGGCAGAGCAAGGCATTAACGCTGCCAGGGTTATGGGTTTGATGCCCAATTGGGACCACCCATACTAAGACTGTATGCGTAAGGTATTGTAAGGTGCTTTGGATAAAAGTGGCCACTAAATGTCCACTAAAGCCAAACAGTATGTCTGTCTGTCTGTCAGATTGTCGTGTGTTAAAGTGGCTCTTCCTCCTCTTCCTCCTCCTCAGGTCACCAGGAGAACATGGGCCTGCAGCCCTGCAGCGTGGGTGGAGGTTCCTGCCCCGCCATGTGTACCTGCAGCAACAACATCGTGGATTGCAGAGGGAAAGGCCTCACCGCCATCCCTGCCAACCTGCCTGACACCATGGCTGAGATGTAAGTTCCACACACACACAAGCTCCTCACACACTCCAGTTTTTCCCTGCAGTGATGAGTGGTTGGATCTGTGTGAATTAGATTTGGAAGTGTGTGTGTGTGTGTGTGTGTGTGGGGGGGGGGGAGGGGGGTGCTGTGTCTGGTTTGTCCACATGCATGCCCATCCAGTTGCTCCTGTATGTCAAGACAGACAGACAGAAAGCAGACAGAGGCAGACAGCATATCTTTAAATGGGCTCCAGTATAAAACTGCACAGCTGCAGTGTTCTCCAACGCTGCAGTCCCACCTATCATGCTGCCTGCACACTGCACCTTGTACTGTACCAACATGAAGCTGCCACCACACATGAATGCACTGCTGTTTTCTCCTTTTTTTGCAATTCCCTTGGAAAAAAAGAGAAGAAAAAATAAAAATCTGGTTTACATTGCGCGTCTGTGTGTGTAAACATAAAATAAATAGAAAAATAAATCAATGTATGCAAGAGACACGATGCGGCATGTCATGTCACAAAGCAAAGACACAGGAATAACGTAGTCTCTGTAAAGAGTGCAGAGTAGCACAGTGCAATACACACATGCACTTTCGCTCCGTCTTTTGATTGTGAATGGGGTCTGGTGCTAGGCAGAACTAAGCATGGGGAGATGATAGACATGCAAATGGTAAACAAACATACATGTACATACGGTACTTATATGGTAGAGTGAAAGAGACAGAGCGAGAGAGAGACAGAGAGAGAGAGAGAGAGAGTTGCATGGACACATGCAAACCCTGAAGCCTGCAGTGGATGACGGCTGCGCGGTCGCTTATCGTCTCCGATGGCTGTGAACCACATGTGAACACTCACCGCCTCTCTCGTCTTATCAGCCCTCCAACATCTGTCTGGACATTCACCCACCACTCGACCCCACCAACCACCATGGCCACCACCACCAACCCCACACTATCAGCCCCCCTGAAATACCCTGTGTTGGGAGTTGTGTACTTATGACCATATAAACTTCTTCTTTTCTACTCCAAGCTGTGTTTGTGTCTCATACAAGTCACTCATTTTGTTTCCTGTTATTTCTCTATTCTGGGTACGGTTACGTTCTTGCAGCTGTTCCACAAACCCGCCTCAGTCTCAGGGCTACTTCTATCCGGTTCACTAACACCACTGTATATAAACTATGTGTCTTTGAAACTCTCCTGTGAACACTGCCTTGTGTCACTTGTTCCCCAAGCTCACTAATGCTCACAGAGGCGATCGGGAACCAGAGAAGCAGCCACACTAGAGAAAGCTAGGAATCACACATAACTAGAGGGAAGGGGCTGGTAAGACCTTTTAATGGCCACCACACGTTTGTCTTTTCAACCGTCTATATCAGTTCTATGCCCCTGGCACGTGTAACCATAGCAATGGTGAGGTCAAAACCGTGTGGTTCACACTAGACTCACACACTGTGATGAAGAAGAGAGAACCAGGGACATATGGAGAGCCAGAGGAGAGCAACCGTAGAAAGCACCCATGTTTGTGGTGGTGAGGAGGAGCACAGTGCCTGTTTCTAGGTCTCCCTGCCCATGGGGGTCCTCTTTATAAATACCCAGCTAGGCATGGAGGTCAACAGATCCCACGTTCCCCTACACAAACCTGACCCACTTCCAGCGCCACCGACGCCACATCAGTGCTGGTGAACTAAATTGCCTCAATTGGACCGACAGGCGGTTTCTGCGTTCGTCCTTGCACCACGCCGTGACCCTTTCTTCTCTTTCTGAAAAAAAAGAAAACACAGAAAGTTTTTTTGCCCGGCTGTCTCGACACATTGTCATGCACCTCGAGGAGATGGAGTGGGAGATGTAATGATGTAGACATAACCTTGCCCGCAGTGTGTTATGTGCGGACGACTGTCTTTACCGTCCTCGCCTTTGATTTGACCTGGGAGCCCATAACCGTCTCGCAGCCAGCTCTCTTATGGGAGCCTGGGGAATGCAGAAGAAGAGAGGGAAGATAGCTCCACCACATGCACACACACCGCTTTTATAGGCAAGAAATTCATTCTCTGCGAGGCAGATGTGGGTGGGGGGGGGGGGGGGTGGTGGTGCTTTAAAAAGACTCGGTGCCCTTGGTGCCTAATTGGTACTAAAGCGTGTGTCCCGTCGATAAACCGCGTCATGTTCTGCTTCATCTTTTACAAGGCCAGGGTGAATCACTGGTGTATATCTCCTTATGTCTCCTAGCACTATCCTGCCTCACCTTTACATGCTCTGCTCCCACAGCTGTCATTTTCACCCCCTTTTTCCTGCTGTCACCTTCTTTTCTTTTCCTCCATTTTTTCTTCTTCTTTTACTGTTTTGGTGAAACTCTAACACCCAGGTTCCTGCAGCAAGGCAGACAGGTGGTGGTGGGGGGGGTGCTGGGTCTTGGGGGGGGGGGGGGGGGGGGGGGGGGGGGCGGGGTGGGGCTGGCCTGCTTCTGCTCAGTAACTTGGCACACCAGGGCTGATCTGCTCTGAAGTTCATTTTAAAATCAGTTTCAATTACAGGAGAGGCGGGCTGCCGGGCATCAAGGCCGGGCTAATGCCCTGTTAATGAGCCGCTTGGAAAGTCATGCATGCACGCCTAAATGCACGCATGCACACACACACACACACCCACACATCACACACACACAGAGCAGTCAAATATACACAAACACACACATCACACACAGTACAGTCAAATCCCCCCCCCCACACACACACACACTCACCTCATGCAAACCATGCAAACGCACGTCACGACACACACTGCCCTCATTACGAACAAATAGGAGCTTCGCAGCCTCCCTGCCTCCCTGCCCCCCTGCCCTGTTCTAATGAAAGCCAGCTCTGCGTTGTGAGATGGGGGGCGGTGGGTAGTCTAGACTCAACCACAACACGTTATCACAGTGTTAGTGTCTGTCTGCAATGATCAAACTACATCGTAATGGTCTGCCACCCTCCTCCTTCTCTTCCTCCAATCCTCCTTTTCCTCCAATCCTCCTCTTCCTCCAACCCAGGAATGTGGTCCTGCCATCCCATACTGACTCATATGTGCACAGAGCCATCTCACTGTATACAGGCATCATGTGTTTCTCCCCTTAATGAGAGCAGCTTAACAAAGAGGATAAAAAGCATTGATTGGAATGACACACACACACACACTGATGGATACATAGCGCATGGATTAACGTTCACGCACACACATGAACACATACACACACACATACAGTAGGTGTGCCTATCCATCTAAGGGCTACTTTGCGGAATTGTCTGTTTTACCTTTGTCCTTTTTGATTGAAAGGATTTTTAACCCTTGCATGTATCGATCCAGAGAAGGGGAAGCAACCAAGCCGAGGCTAAATGTTTATTTCTAAGGCACTAAGACGGTGCATACGCACACACACAGACACACGTAGGCAGGCTATCCATGCCAAGAAGGTACAAAATATCTCACAGTTTGTTGAAGGCAGCAGACTGGCTGATGAGAGAAGGAGTTAAAGCCACTCGGTCTGGTTCTACCCAGCATGCCTCATGGTTGTGGACTGAGCCACCACAGAGCTGTCACACCGCCGTAAATCCACCCAGACACTGGGACAAACCGCCACACAAACAGACAGACAGAGAGAGAGAGGTTGAGAGAAGGAGAGAGAGAGCGAGTGAGAGCAAGTGAGAGAGAGAGAGAGAGAGAGAGAGAGAGAGGGGGGGGGGGCGGAGGGAGGAGGGAGAACATGACCACCACAGGAATGTGTGGTGGTCTGGAATCTCTGCTATCCTGGGAATGCCGATTGCTTTTCGCTATCACTTCATGAAGTAAATGGTGGGCCCCCCCATCTTTGATGAGACACATTCTTTCATTGAGAAATGGAAGCCGAAAAGTGCTTAGTGGCCGAGGTTTAATGTCTACATAAACATTAACCCCCCACGACCGGACGTTCACATAGCAGACCATGGGGGGGGGGGGGGGTAAATCATGAGGTAAATCTCAAATGTCTTTACTAGTCTTTAAATCATGTATAAAAGGGGAGCGCCCGTCCCTCCAGATCACACATGTAGCGTATGAGCCGAGAAGTGAACTCTATCAACAGCCTTTCTATTGAGGTCTGATGCCGATGTTGTCCTGTGGTAGGAAACAACGTTTCAATAATATGAGGGAGAAGCCTCCAGCGGTCTACTCTGCTTTGTTGGCCCACACTTAATCTCACACACACACACACACACACACACGCACACATATCACTCATATACAACACGTCCACACATATACACACACACACACACACACACACACACACACACACACACACACACACACACACACCTACACACAAACGGACACACCCACACACACCTACACACAAACGGACACACACACACACACACACACAAATGGACACACACACACACCTTCTCACACAAACACACACATACACACACAAACGGCGGGCACACACACAGACACACACACACTCACACACACACGCACACATACATCTACACACAGACGGACACACATACACACACACACACACACACACACACACACACACATGCACACATATCACTCATATACAACACGTCCACACATATACTAGTACACACACACAAACACACACACACTGGCTCCAGTTCTCCAGTCAGGACCGGCTGGCTGTGAAGTGGTGTGATGTGGGGTGGGGGGGTATCCAGACTGCCCCCCTCCCCCCCGGCC